CTGCCTGCAAACATGCTACATTGGAGCCAAGCCCAAGAGAGGAGTACAAGTTCTGTGTTTCATGACTACAAATAAGTATAAGACTTCCCTAACAGAAGAGAAGGATAAGACATATACTTTTCATAAAATTATGTTCATTATTTGTTTACTCATTTTTTGCCTTTGTTCCCATGGCAATAATTTTTCTTAAGTGACAAAAATATTACAAAATAAATATTACTTAATATGAATGAAAATCAGTTGTACAAAATCAAAGTCAAACGTAAAATACAGTTGATTTTGTTTCAAGTAAAATATCTGCATTAGTGTTCAATGCTTGCTCTTTAAAGAGAAAATAAATTGTCACTACACAGAAACTGTGAAAAACACACCTGAGTTTCGCAAGCATAAATGTCCAAGATAAGTGCTTTTATAGGTCAAAGTTCTACAAGTGCTCTTGATGTATCATCATAATGAAGCAAATGTTCAAGTGCACTAACAAATTAATGTGTTCAAGTAAGTGATGTTTGAACATTTCACAAACTGTGAATTACATCTCTAGGAGGCATTTTCCTATAATTAGGGGGGAGGGGGAGAGACAGGAAAGGTTAAGCCCCAAAGTCACACTTCTACTGCTATACTTTTAAGCTAAGCCAATAGTTCTCAAACTGTGGGCTAGGACCCAAAAGTCAATCATGACTCTCTCATAAGTGGTGATCAGACGAGAAGGAACAGAGACAAGGAGAGGCTCTGGGATGCTCTTGGAAAAACTGGATTTGCTGCAGCATAATGAGTGAAATAGCCACAAGATATAGTATTCTGCTTAATAGCACAATATATTAACATGAAGTTAACATGAAAATATTAACTTGTTCAGTACTCACGTATGCAAGACTGAGTTTCATACTGGGAGAGGGGGAAAGGAGCATGATGTTACATTGTAAGTGGGTCCTCAAAGCTATAGTAAGTTCAGAAGTGGGCCTCAAACTCTGAGAACCCACTGATCTCACAATGCAAACCTAAGGACAGTTATGCCTTTGTAAACCCAGTGAAATCAAGGCATCTTGGTAACTGAGCTTAAGACTGCACTGTAAGCCGTAAAATATAGGAATAGCCATACAGTCCCAAGTTACCGCTTATCACCCAGATGCAAACAATAAATAAGAGAGCTAGTCATCAGAACATTCAGCATGACTAGAAAAATACTAAATCTAAACTAGGTATGAGCACAACATAAAATCCTGCTTTTTTAAGATTAAGTTTTTGAAATCATAACAGAAATTTGTATCTGTACTGATTTATAAAAATTTAATTGGAGCATGAGTAAGATATGAAAAACCTCCCTGAACCACTGAAAAGGGATTCCACTTAACTATGTTATGTTCTCGGCCTGCACACAGACTCTTCAGTATTTCCCTTCTAGCAAGACCACCCCCCTCCCCACATCTGCCACAAAAACCGTTACAAAGGGGGCCTCCAAAACAGTTCCCTACAAAACCTTTTTCTAATGCACACTAGAAGTGCGTCGACCACTAATTTCTTTGGATTCCAACATGGAGGGTTTTTTAGCAGTATATGAATGGCAAAATTAAGAAGCAACAAACTTAGAAGGATACTCCAGAAACAATTTATTATACCTCAACACATTTCAATCCAAAAGGACATTTTTTTGAACTAAAATACAGTGGGCTACAATAAACTTCCTTTGGAGCATCTCTGAGTTGTGTGTGGAAGAGGAATCTCCGAATTCTAGTCATACACTTGGCCCACTTGAATGCTACCTCTGAAAGGAGCTCAGATCAAAACACATGGCTTCTCCTGTTTCATCCTCACACCACCTTTGTTGTAAGGCTGAGAGATGCTAAATGACCTCAAGGCCATTTAGCAAGTATCATGGCCTTGCAAGAATTTTGATTCCAATCCAAGGCCAACACCACACTTGTGAGCCAGAAAGGCAGGTGCTGTTTCCCCCATATTTATACCATGCTAAACAATTTTTGTGTGAGAGCCTCACCTCAACTGCAGGCCTTGACTTTTTAAAAAAATATCTCTTAGGGGCCAGGTTTGCTTTTCGGCTTTCAAGGTTATGTGTTTTAATTACCATATTTTCTAGTTATTGCTAAAGATGCAATATTGCTGAAAATTTTGAAGTTTTTTGGAAAAAGAAGAAATTTTGGTAAGAACTAAAATATATGCAGTACTTACTTTCTTATCAAACTTAGCCTTATCTTACTGCCGTAACAATGTAACTGCATAATTTCTAACTTAAAATATAAAACTGTACTATTTTTGCATATTTATGGAATTTGAAATTCTAAATACCTTTGATTTTCTACAAGCAAAACTGCAAGTATAGCAAATTCTTGCAAGAAAGAGTTGCAAGTTGTTTCATCCTATGCCATCTAACCACATGTACTAATGTTTATCATAGATTCAGGTGGGTAGCCATGTTGGTGTTAAGCAGCAGCACAAAGTTTGAGTCCCAGTGGCACCCTTAATACCAACAAAAATTTATTCAAGGTATAAGCTTTCATGTGTAAGCCCACTTCTTCAGATACACTTCTCCAGATACAGACTGTATCTGAAGAAGTGTGCTTGCACATGTAAGCTCATACCTTGAATAAAACTTTGTTGGTCTTAAAGGCGCCACTGGACTCAAACTTTGTTCTAATTTTTACCATGTGACAATCAAGGAAAAATAAAAGTTGAGGATAGAAAACAAACTAAAATAAGGCTAAAATAAGACTACCAAAATAAGAAATGAAATAAATAAAATAAATCTGGGTATCAAGTTAAAGTTTCAGTTACACTGAACTGAAGTATATTATTATTAAACACATTATAGGCATATTATTGTCAACGTTATTCAAAATTAACCAATAAACATATTTCCAAATATATGTTGTATATATCAACAATAAACTTAGGAATGATAATCTAATGCTGCAGATCTCCTTGCAGATAAATGTTCATATTATACATTTTGAGTGTGTAAAATTTGGTTTACCAAGAATTTCACTCATTTTAAAAGGGGGGCGGGGAACTACTCATAGAGGTTTTTCCAGAGCTACTCAGAACTTTCCAACATTTCACTGGGGAAAAAAAGAACAAATGTCCTTGGGGGGGAAAGTAAAACACAATGTTTGTTTTTTAAAATTTTTATGGTTTTTCCCACAGACATTCACACTGCAAGTTACTGCTACCACAAAATCTCACCCTAATGATAAAAGTGTTGTATATAAATAAATCCAGAATAACCGTAGTTGTTGTCATCACAACAAAAAACTAAACTGTAACCCTAACCTAACTTCTCCCCAATTTCTCAAAACTCCATTATTGCTTTAAAAAACCTTCATTTAACTAAACACTGGAACTAGTGTAGAAAGCATCTGGTTAAGAGTTCATATACCTCTGAATGATGTAAAATTAGCATATAAATAAGCAATGGCAAGCACTTCATGCATGTGCATTTTCATATCATGCAACAAAACATTCTTAAGTGAAATGATAAATTAGCTTTGTACTTCGACTGAAGATTGCCAACACTACCATAAAATTATTGCTGAAAATAGTAGGCATCAAGAAAAAACTTCCAGGCACCATGATAACCTGGCACCTAGGATTTGTCGATCTCTACTCTACTGAATATAGGTAGAGAATGTTATGGAATTCTACATGCTGACTGAATCCAAATTACTCCTCCTGCATAAGGCACAGCAGTAAGGATTTCTGATGTTCCTGGAGAAAGAGCAGGAACAGCTGATGAACCTGAGACTATGGCACAGATTCAAACCTCCATTCTTGCCTCTCAATTCAGTGGATAGAGACAGAATGAACCCCAATGTGTGCATGTGCATATATACTACAACAGTGATATTCACTCAGTGACCTGAGGGCCACATGTGGCTCTTCTGAGCACTGTCCCCTAATATAGCACCTCCCCCATTTAGGCCCTTGCCTGATGAGGCTTTCAACAGCTGTCACCAGAAGAACAGATAAGCTGCAAGTCTACCTTGTGGAGAAAGCCTCATGCCTGATTGGAAGTAACTGTAGCTTTTTCAGCTTTTAGTAATCGCAAACATGGCTCTCCATGAGCTGCAGTGTGAGGACCACTGTACTATACTGTGTACAAGGGGGTGGCATGCAAGGACTCATGGGAGAAAGGAAATGCTATTCCCCAGTGCTTATCCACCTGCCTGTTCCTTGCCTTTCTCCCACCCCTTCCCCTGGCTACTTGATCTTCCCTCATTGCTATGAGTCCTCTTCTTTTCACTCCCTGCACAGCTTCATCTCCTTCCCCGTCCTCTTTCTGCCCCCTGCCCCCACCCTCATCTTCTGTTTGCAGCACTGGCATGGGGGGGGAGGGGTGACAGAGCCTAAGCAAGATCAACAATGTAAGGCCCCCACCTCACACACTTAATTTCCTGTTGAATCAGAAGGGCTTACAGACCTTCCCAAACATCAGGTGCCAGGTAGGTTGCCTGGTTTCTGAGAGAAAACACAAAGCACAGGCTCCACTAAACATGAGACATGGGCCCTCACAATGCTGTTGTCTGCTTTACCAACCAAAAACCACACTTGAGATCTCATGAGATCTCTGGTGCTGAAGCATTCAGGGGAGGCTTGCAGTGTCTGTACATTAGCCTTGACCAGCCTGCGGTATGTGGGGGGTTTTCGTTTTGTTTTTTGATCCACACAGCATAACCCTTTTTTATAAGAACTATCAACTAGAGTGGTAGTATTTCATCCTTTTGATTTGAATGTGACTCTTTCCAAAAAAAGTATAAAAGATACTAAATGCATCAAAGCTCAGTTTTGCTAAATATCTTTTCATCTTATGACTTTATTAAAAAAACCTTTTCTTTTACTAAACTCCAACAAAAAAGTTACAGATCCGCCATTGCATAGCTGCATCAGGAATTTCCAAAGAATAGCAAATATATACCATTGACCATCTATGCTTCAGTATGGGAAAATGTGTTCTAAACTTCATAATCATTCCAGTAAATGGTGTTGCTTACCTCTTGAACGAAAAACTGGGAAATGTTGATAGCAGAAAAAAAGTTCACCGCTTGAAACGAGAGGGCACTCAATTGGGACTAAACATTCAGCAGATTTAGCTAGTGCTAAGGGCAATTAGAAAGTGGAAGTAAAACATCATGGACTATTTCAGACGTTTGAAACGATGAGCAGGCATCTACTAGGGACATTTCAGGTATGGAATATGATGCTTCATTGTAGTAAATTTAGTAAGACACATTTCTTATTATCTCTGTGTGAAAACATCACCAACCCCTAAAGACTACACTAGGCCACAAGAGCTTTTCATTGGCTATATTTTCATTGGCTTTATGCAATTCCATTTACTGTGATAAGAATAGCATTCACTCCCACATTGGTTATGAATACTTTTTGTCATCGATGACAACTCTCTGGAAGCATCCTGATGCCATGTTAAGAGTTCAGCCACTTCGGACAGACTCAACGATTACCTACGAGTGTCGATAATCAGTGGAACAGAGAATTAAAATAACTTGAATTAGCAGTCGGAAGAAGGTTTTGCAAGAGCCAAAGCTATCCCCGGGGCCGCTCGACGCTTGAGGCCCGCTTAAGGCACCTCTTGAAGCCTCCAAATCGGCAGCCGCAACACAAAAAGAGAACCCCCTCCTCGGTTGTGCTGCACCTGTGCGACTTCCACCCAGTTGGGTTCCAAGGCGCGCTGAAGCCCACCCGTTTATCCCGGGCAGAGGAAGAGGCGAGGAGTGGACAATCTCCCTCACACGTTCCTCCCTACCAGGATCCAAGGCGGGCTTCTAAAGGCGCTATTTCTGCAGTCCGCCCTGCAGCCATCCGGGTAGCAAGGTAAAAGGTGGGGTTTTCCAGCACCTGTACTACCGCCGCCCCCGTTCGGAGCCGGCTTTGCAGTCCTCCTCCTTGCCCCCGAGGAAGGCGGCAAAAGCAGAGGGCACCCGGGGAAGCAGAATACTCAGAACCAACCGTGCCTCTCCACTACTTCCCCCGGTCCCATCACTACCGTCTCTCCCCACATTCAGATCCCTTCGCAACAAAGCCCTCCTTCACTTCTCCCTCACCCGCCCGCGACACAGACCTCGTCCCTCAAACCTCCCCAGGTTCCCCCCCGGCCGAACCAGGCCCCTCTTCCACTTTCTCCACTCTTCTCAGCTTCGGGCCGGGACGCAGCAAAGGCCCCGGATGTGAGTAGAACGTATCAGGCGAGCAACGGGCAAATCCCCAGTAAACCCAGTATTGCGCGTGCGCCGTGTCTCACAACTTTGGCTCAAATCAGTCCCGCCTTTCCTAGTCTTCCAACTTGCCGAAGTTCGCTGAGCGAATGGTCTCTGACTTGGGAAGGAGCGTTTCGATACGCATGCGCCAAGTTCTACAACGTTTGGGAAGCAGGTATAGCCGTACTCTCTCCCCCCCCCCACACCGCGGGTGTGTATAATGAATTACGTTTTTGTCACAGACACTGAGAGGACGGGCGTAATTCAGTCAGTAAACTTCGTTTTTGTTCCTTTCCCCACCACCACCAAAATGTCTGTATTTTTTCCATTACTAAAGTGCTATAGGGAACGTGCAACATATTAGGAAACACAGTAGCAAAGCTATCTTGTTTTGAATGTTTTCTAATACCGATAAAATAAATTTATGGATTGGATTTTTTTCATATGTATTGAGCTAAAGTTAAGCATGTATAAGATCCATGGAAAAGTTAAATCCGTACTTTGATCGTACTGCTAATTGTCCCAGCTTTTCTGAGCTGCCTCATGCAGGTATCTGGAGCTAGCAAATAAACCAAATAATAATTAAAAAATCGAACCTCACCCATTGAAATAAATGGGAATTAATATGCATAATTTGAGCTGGACTAATATTCTAAAATGTACCCCCCCCTTAATGTTAACATGCTCTGATGTGGTATAGGTAGAGGAGCTGACCTGATGAGTCTGGGGCCAGACATACTAGGGGAACGAAGTGCTAGACTGGAATACACCACTTCAGATGCCAGGTGATGGATTCCAGCTTCCAACAGTCCTTTAGGAAACTGCAAATGGAAAACTAACAGATAACTTCTACTTCTTTCCCCTTCAACAGACTAACATGGCTAGCCCTCTGAAAAAAATTGCTGGTGCTCGCCCACTTACCTGTTGACATTAACCTTTGAAGTAGGAGAGCTGTCAGCTGTTCCAAAACCCGGAGAGTCTCTTCATACTCCTCAGCATTAGGGCAAGCTGTACATAACTGTTTAAAATGTCTTTAACTTTAAACAAATCAAAACTTGTTTCAGGGATAACTACAAAGCACACATGCACACAGCGAGTCCTTTCAGTTCCAACCCACTTCTGGCTGAAAGAGGCAGGGAGCTGTAAGGGTTACTTTGAGGACATCTCATCTGGATAAGCTTTCTGAAGCTCTTTATCTCCCTCCTGTAGTTAACTCATTCTTTATCCTCTTTGTTAAGCTGAGAGGGTGGGAAGAAAGGTGTAGCTGTGGGAGGAGAGGTACAGTGCAATCTTAAGGCGACTTTCCTAGGCGAGTGCCCCATCGAGTAGACTGTAGTAGGATTCTGAGTAGACCTGCTTGAACCAGTTTACATTTGTAATACCCCCCCCCACACACACACACACAAGAATGTGAATTTGTCTTTTTTATTTTAAAAACATGTGATTCTTTTATTAGCCCTTGACTGATCAGAGACATAAGAACATAAGAGAAGCCAATGTTGGTTCAGGCCAATGGCCCATCCAGTCCAACGCTCTGTCACACAGTGGCCAAAAATACCAATGGGAGAACATTTCAGTTTCTCAGAATGCTCTGATGCTGACCTGAAAAGTCTTCAGCAAAAGAAATGGCTGAATTAGCTTTCATAAAGAAGCTTGATGTTATCTCACTGGCTCTTGATATCACATTGCATGTCGTTTAGCATATCTTTGAAGATTGTGTCATCACCTCTTGCTGCTGTTGTGAATTGTCACTATATCTTGTCTATTACTGAGCATTGCATAGAAATGTCACACATTATTGGTTAATCCAACCACAATTTCTGCTGATAAAAGTTGTCTGGAGGGATCCGTTTTGACCACCCAAAAGTTATGCTGAGGATCTTTAGACCTATGAGGATAAAAGCCACGTGAGATGGGGCTGTTAATACTGAGGAGAACTGACTGGGTGAGAATACTGGCTGGATTCAGTCTAACCTTGTATTTCACTGCTCTTTGACCCCACTGTATCTTCCAAATTAGAATAAACTTCATGCATCTGGTGGAGCAGACTTTATCCCACAAATAACATTTAACAAAAAAGGCAACACATCAATATGTTAAACAAAAAAAAGCAATTAGCTAGCAAAGCTGCCAATGGAAAACAAAGCCAGGATACAGCAGAAAGCAATAACAAACCGAAATCCATACCTTCAGAAACCAAAATTAGACATCATAAAGTATCTCTCTCAATTTATTTATTTCATTTATACCCTGCATTTCTCCCCAGTTGGGACCTTTATCAAGGAAGGCCCACAAGGCCAGTCCTACAGAACTCCACTAGTGAGGAATAGGGTGCAACAGACTTGAAGAAAAATGTCCTGTCCCTTTAATGGGGGCTTAATATCTGAAATTGAGCAGCTGAAGATCTTCAGGACATGGAGGGAACTAACACCACCTGGTAAATAACAGCCAATTAAAGTAAAGGTAAAGGTTCCCTTGCTCGAAAGCCAGTTGAATCCGACTCTAGGGTTGCGCGGTGCTAATCTCTGTTTCAAAGCCGAAGAGCCAGTGCTGTCCGAAGACATTTCCATGGTCATGTGGCCAGCATGACTAAACACCAAGGTGCACGGAATGCTGTTATCTTCCCACTGAAGTGGTACCTATTTATCTACTTGCAATTTCTTGCTTTCGAACTGCTAGGTTGGCAGGAGCTGGAACTAGAGACGGGAGCTCACTCCGTCATGCGGCAACCTGGGTCTTGAGCTGCTGAACTACTGACCTTCCACAGCCTGCAGTTCAGCGTCTTAACCACTTGAGCCACCACAGCCAATTACACCTCTATTAAAATGACAGTACATTTTTTCTCCAGGCAGTTGGCAACCTTACCCCAAGGATCTCCTTATCCTCCGATTGCACAGGATGAAAAATACTCATTAAAGAAGGCCAATTTCTTAAACAAAGGCAGAACATTCAGGCAAGGGGACTGACTCCTGGCATTACCACTGCTTTGCCATGCCGAACTTCACTTTGGTCCAGAAGTTAACTGGGATGGAAGAAATGTTTCAAAAAGCAGAACACAGCAATGCATACTAGATGATGGACTAGCATAATCTCCCTTCCCTCATGCCCTAAATGTCATATACATGCATAACCCTGCTTTGTGTGTGAATGGATAGAGGCAGGTCCCCCCCCCCAAAAAAAAGGACACATACTTTGCCTTTAAATATTATAAAGGTATTTGATATATATCAGATTCTGATTCAGTGACTCTCTATTACATAGAGATCTTTTCCCATCACTGATCTTTCTTGCATCGCATGTGCATTGTCTTTACTAATAGGAGAAGGCAGGGGTCTTGTTGTAGAAAAAGAGCTGCCGGAGCTCATTAGCATAACTCATTAGCATAACTTATTTGCATATGCCACGCCCCCTGACATCACCGGAAGTGACAGAAGGCAGCACCCCCTGACATCACCGGAAGTGTGTCAGAAGGCCCGGCTACTTACCCTCCTGCTTCATCCTCATTCCCAAACGGAATGAGGATCGAAGCAGAGGGCGGGGTAAAGAAGGGGGCGGGGCTTCACCACGTGACCGCCCCGCCCCCTAGAGGTTCTCTTCCGGAGCTCCGTACCTGAGAGCTCCCCCCCGACTAGAGCCCTGGGAGAAGGCCTTCTCTGCCTTTGTTTCCCCTCCTCACATGAAACATATGTTGGTCAAGTTGTCTGCCTATCACTGAGGATAGATGAAGATGGGTAGCCATGTTAGTCTGTCTGTAGCAATAGAAAAGAGCAAGAGTCCAGTAGCACTTTAAAGACTAACAAAATTTGTGGCAGGTATGAGCTTTCATGAGTCACTGCTCACTTCTTCAAATACCTGAAGAAGTGAGCAGTGACTCACAAAAACTCATACCCTGCCACAAATGTTGTGAGTCTTTAAGGTGCTACTGGACTCTTACTCTTTTCCTTCACTGGGGGACAGTATGCAGTCTTTGATCCTATGCCCCCCAGTGCACCTCCCTTCCTATCAAAGTGTTCAAGGGAAG